GAGGCTGAGGCAGGAGGATTACAAGTTCAAAGTCAGCCTCAACAACTTAGTGAGGCCCTAAACAACTTAGCAAGACCCTGTCTCCAAATAAAATAATAAAATGGGCTGGGGATGTGACTCAGTGGTTGAGAACCCCTGGGTTCAATTCCTGGTACCCCTCACCACCAAAAAAGTATGGGCGACCTAGCCAGGTGGAGCAGGGCCTCCCCGTAGTACCCTCTCCATCTTGAGAAGCCTCTTCCTTAAAGCTTCCCTCTTCTCAGAAGCCTGCCATCCAGGTCCTCCACAGACCTTTGAGGTCCCCTCTCCAGTGCCACCGGCTTTTACGACTTCCCCTCCCCTTCTCTCTCAGGTGTGTGCCGTCCAGGTGAGGAACACGGGTAAGATGTACGCCTGCAAGAAACTGGACAAGAAGCGGCTGAAGAAGAAGGGTGGGGAGAAGATGGCTCTCCTGGAGAAGGAGATCCTGGAGAAGGTGAACAGCCCTTTCATCGTCTCTCTGGCCTACGCCTTCGAGAGCAAGACCCACCTCTGCCTGGTCATGAGCCTGATGAACGGGGGAGACCTCAAGTTCCACATCTACAACGTGGGCACACGCGGCCTGGCCATGAGCCGGGTGATCTTCTACACGGCCCAGATGACCTGCGGGGTGCTGCACCTGCATGGCCTCGGCATTGTCTACCGGGACCTGAAGCCCGAGAACGTGCTCCTGGATGACCTCGGCAACTGCAGGCTGTCCGACCTGGGGCTGGCCGTCGAGGTCCAGGATGACAAGCCCATCACCCAGAGGGTGAGTGGCCACCGCAGTCCCAGAGGAGGGGAGAGGGCTGTTCTGCCCCGGGGCTAACGGAGCCAAGGACTTCATTCTTCTGATTTCCTTTGGGTGGTCACCTTGGATGGAGTGAGTAGAGTAAGAGAAGGAGCTTGGTGGCTCTTTGGGGGGCAGGGGAGCCTCCTTTGCAAGCTGGGGATGATCCAGGCCTCCACGGTAAGATGAAAAGAGCCGAATCCGCAAAGTCCAGGCGTGTGCCACCAAGAACCACCCCACGGTGCCAGCAGGGGCCTCGCTTTCCTTCCCAGAAAATAAAGGGCCTGGACCCTAAACCTCCACCATCCTAGTAGGTAGATTTTAAGAGGGTGTTAAATAGAAGCAGCTCCTGACACCTAGTGTATTAAAAGTAAAATGTTCCTTTATTGTTACTGAGTGTGGAACAGGAGAATGTCCTACATGAGAAGAAGGTGAAATTTTAAGTGAAAATATATAGAATAGAACGGAGGCAACTAATATATACTTTGGGTTTGGTTTTGTTTCCTTTTTCTGGTGCTAGGGATTGAAGCCAGGGTCACTCTACCACTGAGCTATGCCCCCTGGACCTGACCTTTTATTTATTTATTTTTTTATTTTGAGACAGGGTCTCACCAAGTTGCTGAGGCTGGCCTCAAACTTGTGATCCTCTTACCTCAGCCTCCCTAGTAGCTGGGATTATAGGAATACATCACCACAGCCAGGCGACTGATGTCTATTTTGATTAATTTGGTTTGAGGTGACTTGTTGAGAATTCTTTGGTTAAAAGGGGGATTATAATTCAGTAATGAAACTGTGGTGTCTGTGTCAAACAATAGGATTGAAGAAGCAGGGGATATTAGAGATCTGATGAGATTCAGGGGCCTACTGGGTATGAGGGTAAGGGGAGAGGAGGCTCTTGTGCTCTAGTGAGCAGCAGGTATAGAATGGTAGGTAAACCTGGCATGTTTGGTTGTGATCCTCTTGTCTCTGAGGCACCCGTAGCCTGGTGGCTGGAGATGTTCAGGGGCACTGAGACCTGTGATCTGGTGCTGTAGAGAAAGACCTGGGTAGACACGGGGTCATCGTGGGAAGCAACAGTCACCACAGTCACTTGGGAAACAGGTGGGGAGGAGGACCAGGGACATAAGTTGAGGAACATGTAAGGTCTGTGGAAGAAGAAGGACCAAAGTGGGTTTCAGCTGTGTATCATAGGAAACCCAGTGGCACACACAAACCAGGTTTATTTTTCTTATGGAACCACTTGTAGAGATAAGAAGTTTCCGGCATTAATTCAGCAACTGCAGGATGGTTGAATCCCTATCTCTATAATTCTGGCCTCTTCCATGTGTTGCAAGATGGCTGCTCTAGCCCCAGCCAGTAGGACCATCTTCCAGGCAGGAGAAAGGAACAAAGGTCAGAAGTAAATGGGCATGCACACACCAGCGGAGTGTGCCCTCTCTTAAGGAGCTTTCTTTGAAGCCCATCCAACAGCTTCCACTTTGATCCTCATTGGCTAGGACTGTTACCTGACCACCCCTATCTGCAGGGGAAGCCAATAAATAACATTTGGAGGGGCTTGAGGGGGGTGGTTCTAGTTAGTAAGGAAGAAGAGGGGGCAAGATGTTAGCCTCCTTGGGACCTGAACATGTCCCTGAACATCTCCAGCCACCAGGCTATGGGTGCCTCAGAGACAAGAGGATCACAACCAAACATGCCAGTCTACCTATCATGGAAATGGGAATGTCACCAGTCTACATCAATCGATGCATGAAAACGGAAGTGTATTCACTCATGGTTTTGAATTTGCACTGTCAGTTTTAGGGAGTAGAAACTCCTTTTGAGTGTTCCGGACACAGGTCATGCTAAGTGTTGCTCTATTTCCATCTTGCTAGAGGATTGGGACACACACACACACACACACACACACACACACACACACACACGGCTTTGTCCTTATAAATCTCTTCTCAGTCTTCCTTGGGCTCTGTGCTGGGCCAAGAGAGTGTTTCAGGATGGTTCTTTCACCGCCCATCTGTCGAGCTCTCTGGCTCTTTTGGAACCTGCAGGAAGCTGTTTGCCCTTCAGCACCATCCGCCTTAACCAGTGCGCTCAGTGGAGACTGGGTACAGCCTCGAGGCTCTGCCCCTTTCCCTCTGCTGCCCTTCTGCCCCATGAAACCAAGGAGTTTCATGCTCTAGTCCCCAGGTCTGCCACGGAAGCCCAGGGGGGCCATGGACAGCAAGATTGGAACAGGAAAGCGTGGCCTCTTCCCTGTTCACCCCTCCACAGAGCTAAGTAAACCTCCTGAGTTCCGAAGTATTGCAGCTCCCAAGGGGATTTTAGGGTCTTTTAAAAAATACGCCTTTATTTTTATTCATTCATTTTTCTGTGGTGCTGAAGATTGAACCCAGGGCCTCGCACGTGCTAGGTGAGCGCTCCCCACTGAGCCGCAGCCCCAGCCCCTTAGGGTCTTTACATTCAGAATATTTCACAGACAAAATGAATAATGACGCATTTTCAGGGTGTCTGTAGTCACATGCACTGAGCTGTGACGTCAAGATACTATGTGGAGGACTGGGTGGTGGCCGCTGGCTCTCCAGGTGACGGACTCACATGGGAGGAAGTGTGCCTGGCCATGGCGGTCAGCATGTGCCTTGATTCTGCAGTCCTTCCAGAAAAGGAAGGGCTTCGTGGCTTGGGGAGTTGGCTAGCTCCTTCCCATTCAGGGGTTCGGTCAGCATGTAAGTTGGGATCTCTTCTGCCACGTGACACAATAGAAGATTCTGGTATGGAAACTCAGTGACTTCAGGGACAAGCTCGTTAAAGGTCCCTTGGCCTTCTCCTTGTCACAAGGTGGCTGCCAACTCCCAACACGGAGGCCAACTGACCCGGTTGATGTTAAAGGACTTGTCCGGGTGGGACCAACCACACCACAGGAGTCCTTCCAGTACGGGTCCAGAGGTCAGAGATAGCAAAAGTCAGAAATTTAAGGCCTGAGGGGCTGGCTTCAAAGATGGATGGGGCACATGGCAAGGAGGGCAGGTGGTCCCGGAGGCTGAGTGCTGCCTCTGCTAACAGCCAACAAGGACATCACAGTGACAGCCATCACTGAGTGAGCCTGGGGAGACCCTTGAACTCCAGATGGGACTACAGCCTGGCCAACATCTCAATCTCAGCCTTGTGAGACCCTGACCAAAGAGCTCTACCCTGCAGCGCCCGAGCTTCTGATGTACAGAACAGCGAGCTAATAGACGGGTGATGTTCTAAGTTACTAAGTCCGTGGCAATTTGTTGCACAGCAATAGAAAATTCATATGAATAATTAAATAAACGAAGGTAGCCAAGGGAAAGAGATTTTTGTATGTTAGCAATCAAAATTAATGATGAATATACCAAGGTGCCAGACAGGGTGAGGGGATGTTCTCCTTTCCTATAGGATCAGAACTCACGCCATCTACTGTAATAGGACTAGGGGTTAGAATAGGATGTGGAACTCTGGACCTGACTCTTACAAGTTGGAGAGTCTGCCCCCGGTCTGGGCTAGGCCTCCCTGCAGGGACACAGACCATTCCAAGCTTGTGGGGAGACCATGGATGAAGTGGTTTGGGTAGCAATCAGTTTGTAGGCAGTGGGGAGATGCAGGAGGTGTTTTAATAGGCAAGTGGCACAACTAGAGTGAGTCTGCCTCCTGCTGCCTGAGGAGAATGGGTTGAGAGAAAGGGGATCCAGCAAGAGTCACCGTAATGGTCCACCTGTGAGGTAATGGGGAGCTGACATCAGGCCCTGGCCTCTGAACAGTCGGTGTCCCCTGGCCTCTCACCTGGGCTCCATCAAGACCCAGATCTTTAAATGTGATTGTCCTCAACAGCATTCGGAGTGCATGGGCCACTCTTTTTTTTTTTTTTTTTAAATATTTATTTTTTAGAAGTAGTTGGACACAATACCTTTATTTATTTATTTATTTTCTATGTGGCGCTGAGGATCAAACCCAAGGCCTCACACGTGCTAGATAGACAAATGCTCTACCACTGAGCCACAATCCCAGCCCCTGGACCACTCTTTAGATTATGTTGTTTTCTGCCACGTGGGGTTCCTTGGCTGCTGGTGGGTGGACGCTGACACAGGGAAGTACTTCCAGGGAAAAAGGGGCCAGGAAGCTCTGTCCAGGCCTGAGAAGGACTAGGGCCAACTTGCAAGGGGAAGGCCGGTGCTCGAGGTAGCCTTGGAACTGAAGTCCTTGGAGGAAAAACTTGTAAAGTCAAAAGATTAACATGTGGAATAAGTTCCTATGATTTAATGTATTACCAGTCGGGGTTCTTATGGCGTAAAACTAAGTCACTTAAGGAAATGAAGCTAATGCACTAAGAAGCCCAGAGGCTTAGCCCCATCCTGGTGTCTGAGCAGTGTCCCTAGGAATCCCCAGCCCGATTCCCAGATCCAGCTCTCTGTATTGGCCTCACTCCCAGGCAGACCCCCGCCCCCTCTGGGGGCCACCAACAACTCTATCCTCCCCACTGAGCAACCCCTCTGGAGAGAAGGCACTTCTTTGGGCAGCTCGGTCACACGCCCAACTTCAGTGTCCAGAACCACCCTGCCTGTCCCTGGAGCCAGAGGAAGGATCTGTCCTACCTCAATCTCATGGATTGAGAGCATAGCAAATGTATTCTTTTTTTTTTTTTTTAAATTTTTTTTTTTGGTTATACATGGGTACAATATCTTTATTTTGTTTATTTATTTTTATGTGGTACTGAGGATCGAACCCAGGGTCTCACACACATGCAAGGCGAGTGCTCTACCACTGAGCCACAACCCTAGCCCCAGTAAATATATTTTTCAAAGGAGAATCAGGATGGAAAGATGAAGAAAGGGTGCCCAGGAATACAAACGGCGACTGCCCCCAGTGACTAATGACACTAAATGGCCTGAAAAGTTTAGAAATGTCTGACTCTTTAATCAAGGGATGATGGGGTCTAGGTCCTTTGCAGAAAGGCTCTGAGTGAAATA